ATTATTTTGGATATATCCAAGTAGACATGCAACACATTTGGGGAGACTCCAAGTTAAGCATGCAAGTCTCATTGGCTTAGCAAGGTAGGTGCTTAAATCTCACTCTTGGTGATCAAACAAACTTTAAAAACACGTAAAATTCATCGGGGGAAACCTCTATAGCACAGTTAAATCCTCCAACTGTGATTGCATTAAATCTTACAGTAATTCGTTCTAGCTATTTTCCGGCAATCTTTATGCCAATACAGCATTTAGGAGACCAGACTGAAACACAATGGAGATCTCACAAAATAAGGACAGGATTAAGGTTGCTCAGAAAAGTAGGCTTCTACTTACATTTGCAATTGCTGTATCAGGAATAATTTTTTTTAAAAAAAATGGGATTTAGCGTAAGTGACAAACATGAACTTTCCTAGAAATTGAGTTGACTAATTAGGAAAAAAATATCAGTATAGAGCAAATGTTTCTACTTGGTTGGAGGGATTTTGATGGTGGTTAAACATTATTTATCACCCATTTTTAGCAGGCACCATCCTGTCGTTCTGTACACTTAAAACATTGTCTTTAGGGCCATAAACTCCGAGGATAATGGATATGTGTAGGCTTCCCATTATCATTTTTTTGACCGATATCAAAATCCCACTAACGTCAGCATCAGCCAAAAAGAAAAAAAAGCTCAGTTTACCAGTGTGCTGAAGACAGCAATATTGGTGTTGGAACATTCACATCATATTTAGCGCAAATCCCAACTCAACCATGAATTACTTAGTGGTTTTGGATAAATTGTGCTTTCTCAATCTCAGGATATGCCTATCTATAGAACAGCAGAAAAGTAATCTATTTCAGAAGAATCATGCGAAGCATTAACTCCTACATGTCACACAAGGAAATGAATGATAGCATTTTACAATCAATATACTAAAATGCTTTAATGTATGGATTTGGTAATTAATTGACATACCATTTCACTGCAGAGGAGCACTGGGAAACATCCCTAAGGCTTCTTAGCCTCTATATCTGTGGTTTTCCTTATGTTCAAGTCATATGATTCCAGTCCCATTAGAATAATAATTCCCCTCATTAAAAATACGTTCAATCTACAACATCTTTTAGTCAAATGGATTCAGCCCAAAGTGCACTACTTGCTCGGTACAGATCAATAAAAATGACTGGTATTAAATAATAGAAAAGATGGGTGAGTTTTCCAGGCTGTATGGCCATGCTCCAGAAGCATTCTCTCCTGATGTTTTGCCCACATCTATGGCAGGCATCCTCAGAGGTTGAGGGGTCTGTTGGAAACTAAGCAAGTGAGGTTTATATATCTGTGGAATGTCCAGGGTGGGAGAAATAAATCTTGTCTTCTTGAGGCKAGTATGAATGTTGCAATTGGCCAGCTTGATTAGGTGGCCAATGCTTCCACTTGAGACGTCAGCCATAGCAGAGTACCTGKTGAACCAACCTGGACACAGCATGTTATTTGAGAGCACAGAAATGSTGGACCACTCTAACAACTACCATGTCAGACTACACAGAGAAGCCACTGAAATCCACAAGCATGTGGATAATTTCAACAGAAAGGAGGAAACCATGAAAACGAACAAAAACTAGCCACCAGTATTTWAAAAACCCTCTAAAATCAGGACAGTAAATAAAGAGGAACACTCAAATGTCAGGGGAATTCCTGCCATGAAACTATCAGGGCCAGCTAATATCTCCCAACAGATGATCAGCCAGACTTTGAGGATACAAGGCCATTAAATGCCGAGTTCTTTCTCCCACCCTGGACATTCCAGATATACTAACCTCACTTGTCTAGTTTCCAACAGACCCCCCAATCTCTGAGGATGCTTGCCATAGATGTAGGTGAAACTTCAGGAGAGAATGCTTCTGGAACATGGCCATATAGTCCGGAAAACTCACAGCAACCCAGTGATTCTAGCCATGAAAGCCTTCGACAACACAATAGAAAAAGCTTCATAAGAAAAGGAAATGCATTCCATCTAGAGCCAGTGTCTTCAGCACTGGATTAAGATTCTGAGAGATCAGAATTAAAATCGTTGCTCAACCATGGAAACCCACTGGTTGGCCTTAGGCAAGTCATGAGAAGAAAGCAATGGGAACCCTTTCCTGAATAAATCTTGTCAATAAAACCCCATGATAAGAATCTTAGGGCCATTGGAAGTTGGAAATAACTTGAAGGAACACAACTGAACCCACAGTCTACAACTAAGAGCGAAATTACTGTAGGTGTGCCCATGGATATGATCATTAAAGGTTTTTTGTTATGGTTCTTCTCATATCACAATGCTTTGTAAATTTGCAGCATAGGGAATGCTGTGCAAAAAAGTAATATCCAAAACCTCCATGAGAATGTAAAGTGTGAAGTTCACAAGAGACACTGATCAGTATTTTCAGTATAAATTACGTTTAACACAACTATGCAGCTAGCTCTGAATTTCCGCTCAGGCATTAATCATGTTGCTCCATCAAGAACACAGAAAATACTGGTAATGACAATTATACTGTTGCAATAGATGCAGGAGCACAATGCTCATAACTTTTTTTTATAGAGCACACTGTATTATAGTTAATCATCTTTCAATTAAAATAATTGCTTTAATAGTGCATAAACTCCCTTCCCTTTAAAAAAGATTTCAGTATTTAATCATGTTCTATACCAATTAGAAATGCTTCTATCAATTCAACCCTACAAAAACATTTCCTCTCCTCCTTTTCCCAAAATACTTGCTTTAATATATGACTAGTGTAAAAGCCTTAGTCATTTTATTTTGCAGTAGTTTTCTTGTCCATATCAAGTTGGATTAGCTTTCCTTCCTCCTCTTTGATCTAATAATAATAAAAACGATCCCTACAACTGGGTTGCTGTGATTTTTTTTGGTCTGTATGGCCATATTTCAGTAGCATTCTCTCTTAATGTTTTGCCCGCATCTGTGGCTGGCATCCTCAGAGGTTCAGTGGGAGAAAGAGCCTTTGTCTGTTTAAAGCAAGTGTGAATGTTGTAATTAATAAGCTTGAATTAGCATTTGAGTAGCCATGAAGTTTGCAAAGTCAATTAGTGAGGGTATCTGCATAGACGTAACCTGGCCTTGTTGCCCAGATGCAGGCAAAACATTAGAGAGAATGCTACTGGAACATGACCATACAGTCCGAAAAACTCACAGCAACCTAGTGATTCTGGCCTTTGACGATGTATTATCCCTACAACTAATTGCTTACAGAAATTCAGCTGATTAAAACTGCTTTTCCAAGAACGACTTAACAGAATTTGTAAAAGTGATGGTACATAATGTAGTCGTACTTGGGTTGTTGATTCCACTGCTTCTCGAACTGTGGGTCCTGACCCCAAATGGAGTCCCCATAGCTCAGTGTTGGGGTCCTGAACAATTTGGCAACAGTGAGCATTACTTATTACTTCATCACACTAGAGAATGAATCCACTTTAAATCCAGTTTCTGCCTCCTGAAGAATGCAGGGGTTTGCAGTTTAGTGAGACTGTTAAAGGCTCCTCTTTAAACTACAAACCCCACAATTTTGCAGGAGGCAGCAATTGGATTTAAAGTGGATTCATTCTCTAGTGTGATGAAGTAGCTAGTAGCTGTTTGAGGCATTTACACAAATCTATTATGTAGTGTTTACAGGTGGCACGATGTGTTAAACCCTTGTGGTGGCAGGACTGAAGACTGACAGCTTGGAGGTTCAAATTCGGGGAGAGCGCGGACGAGCTCCCTCTGTCAGCTCCAGATCCCCATGTGGGTACACGAGAGAAACCTCCCACAAGGATGGTAAAACATCAAAACATCTGGGCATCCCCTGGGCAACGCCTTGCAAACAGCCAATTCTCTCACACCAGAAGTGACTTGCAGTTTCTCAAGTCGCTCCTGACACAAAAAAAATTAAAAAGGAAAATCAGCCTGTTTAGCAAGCTTTGCAAATCCTGCATTGTTATCAGCATATGTTTGATTATTTATTTTGCGTCAAAACTATTGCATAAATAAGAATAAAACTGATAAAATAGAGGGAGCACACACGGCTTAATAATTTTAGACCAAAAATGGGCAACAGTGATCGCATTGTCTGTAGCTTTAAACAGTTCTTCCTCTGCGCATGAGGCAGGGCATGGTGGGCAAGCATACAGATGCGGAGTTGTTTGTTCTGCTCTAGTCGCATAATGTAGAGGGTTCTTCTATGTAGTGTCATTTTGTCAGGTTGTCTTTTGATCTGCCTACTCCACTTTTAAGTCTGTTCAGGGACTTTTGTGACATTTTAATATCTATTTTATATACCAAAATACCTGGGGTCACATAAAATTTTCTTGAACCAAAAGAGGTCATGAGTGGAAATATCCTGGCTTATTCCACTTATCCTTAAGTAGAAGGTGGAATAAAATTACCTTTATTTCCTTTATTGGCAAATTGGACCTCTTCCCTTCTCACAATATCAAGACTTAACAAGTGTGGGCCATTGCCTGAAACTCAAATGATAACCAATCTACATGAATTGAATAGTTTACCCAAGGACAAATTTATTAGATATATACAACAAAGTTCCAAGTTACCTTGTTCCATATAAACCATAGTTGACAGTTTTAATTGCAGCTTCCTTCAGCTAAAAGAAGCAGCTGTGGATACCAACATTTTTTTTCAAAAGTTTGTGACTTCTAAAGTCCTGCCTTTACTTGATCAGTGATCTTTCCAAAAGGATTATGAAACCCATGTCCTAAATGGTTATGGAGATTCACATTTTCCAAAAGGTTATGGTATCATTTTGCCAAAATAATTCATTTCTGATGTACCCACTTCCTTGTGGGTATTTGTTTGGAGAAGGAAGTAAATTGGTTTTAACTGGTTTACTTTGACAAAAGGTTTTTGCTGGTTTAAAGATAATAAATGCATTTGTTTAAATCTTCTGTAAATTGTATTGAGTTCCAATATTTGGGGAAAGGCAAGATATAAATGAATAAATAACAGCAATCCCAATGCTAGCTGGAAAAAACATAGCTAGTGGTGATTTTAATTCACAAATCTGATGAAATAAAGTCAACAGGTTGCAGCTGCAAAACCTTTACTATGAATACAAAGTTAACAATAGATAAACATTCTAAGGAATGGTAACAAAGTTACTGCAAGACAGCACAAAAATAATTTGGGACTCAAAAGGATATAATGAGGAATGGTTAAAGATGTTCTTCACAAATATTTTACATTAAGACTAAAACATGACAATTTTCAGAAGCAACAAAATCCATTTCAACATATAATACATAATTATACAATCCATATAAGCTGTGATAAGTTACTTTAGGTACTTCATTTATATAAACACAAAAAAGCAGTGGAAAATGTGCAAAAAGGATGCTCAAGAACAGTGAGTTTTTAAAAAGGCTATAATAAAAGAGGAAAAAGTACATCAAGTAAGTACTGATTAAAAAAGAGAATCCACTACAGTCAGATGACATTGTCTGGAGTTCAAACAGAAGCAAACACAGTCCTGACTGGCCTCAGTCTCTCTCTTTATAAAGAGATCAACCCAAATGGGGCTTCCTATAGATTATGTACACCATGTAGAAAGTATTGCAAAAGGCACTTTTGAATTTAAGGCAAGTAAAGGTATGCTTTTTTAAAAATAGAAAGTTAAGAATTACATCAGTAGGGCAAAGCTCTGCTATCTGAGCAAATTATCTTTACGTTGTTAATTTTTTTCTTAAAAGCTTCAGATCAAGAGAATATTTCAAAATTTAGTGTAATGGAAAGGGCCAACTTTTAAAAAAATCCAAACCTATTTGTTACCATTCCACATATCAGCCAGGCACTGATTTTGTGGGTGTTGTCTGAAAGCCCCATATTATTACTCTAAAATATTTGTTCTTTAAATACAATTACATGGGAAAAAAAGAGATTCTTTAGAGATGTTTAATACATTTATATAAAATTTCAGATGTTGATACAAATCACAGGCATCTCCCTTTGGGAAAAAAATCTCACCTAGTCACCACAATTACCAGAGATCACAAACATATTTGTCAGTGCAAATCTATATTTCCCTAAGACAGAAAACCGTCCACCCTCACTCAAATACAAAACGTTGTTACTAAAATGACAAATTACATTTGGTTATATCCACCCACCTTCCCAAATTACTACAGTATTCATTATCAAGGGGGAAGAAATTAAAGCTGCTTGTGCAAATATCACTACAAACAGTCATCCTTGTAAGTTCCTTGATTCTCATTAGCCATAAGCGATCCTCAGTTGACGGAGAGATCTTTGTGCCCGGTTCTTTTACTGATCTTCCAGCCAGGATGGAGCATCTACTCCAGGCGTTTTCAATTTGATATGGAACTGTTTAAGTGTCTGTTCAAGCTGTTTCTGGTTTCCTGCAAAGTATGCTGCAATGGCATTGTGGAACAGAACAAGCTGATTGTGCAATACTTTGACCTGCGGACAAGGACAGCAAACATGAGAAAGATGCATGAAACAATACTAAAGCCAAGAACCAGAGATTAATTTATATGCTGTACTATTTCCCCTTGTATTATGCATTATGACCAATACTACTACAAATGAAGGCTCTCAATCCCAGAAAGGCAAAGCTGTGATCAGGAGCTTTCGTTAGGAGATAAAGAACAACACTCTTCATGAAACGTGAATGTGACTAAACTGAGGCTGTTGGGCTTTGCACATGTTGGGACAGGAAAAGACTAACTGGAAAACATGGTCATACTCGACAAATTAAAAGGTGGTACAAAAAGAGGAAGAGCAAAAGCAGACTGATTCAAAGAAGGAAGCCATGACCCTGGGCTTGCTTGACCACAGCAGGTCTCTTGGAGTCAACTTGAATGCAATTTATATGAAAAGTAAGAGGATGTTCACTGTAATGCACAAAGGACAAGCTGATGACTTAAGATTCTAACATGCTGAAATTCAAATCTGAAATCTGAACTGTGCTTAGGTCATTACTGTAAATCTTCCAGTCTGATGCACTTTTTCTCCTATATTAACATCTCTAAATATGAGTTGCGTCATAGTATTGCAGGTGGATCTGAAGTATTTTTTGTTGATGATGGTGGTATTGAAGTTTATTACAATCTATGGCAGCTTACAATTAATTAGAAACAGGAGCTACAGGAGCTTAACAGTTTCTGACAAATTACTACAATTAGGACCTAGGCAAATGCTCTATAAAAAAGGTAAAGGTTTCCCCTGACATTGAGTCTAGTTGTGTCTGAATCTGGGGGTGGTGCTCATCTCCATTTCTAAGCCGAAGAGCCAGCGTTGTCCATAGATACCACCTAGGTCATGTGGCCAGCATAACTGCATAGAATGCCATTACCTTCCCACTGAAGTGGTACCAACTGATCTACTCACACTTGCATGTTTTCAAACTGCTAGGTTGGTAGAAGCTGGCCTAATAGTGGAAGCTCGCCCTGTTCCCCAGATTCGAACTGCTGACCTTTCAGTCAGCAAGTTCAGCAGCTCAGAGGTTTAATCCACTGTACCACCAGAGGGGCATTTTACTCTATAGATATGTATTAAATAATATTTAAAATGGCACCACAGACAGTGCTTTTCAACTAATTACAAATAAATTTGCGATCGTTACTGGGGTTTTTTCAAGACAGGGTTAGGAAAAAATATTAAAGTGTTAAAAGTGCAATTGTTGACAAGCAACTCTATCATCTTTCCATACTAACTTTCTCAGAGGAAGATGAGATAAAGATAAATTTTAATCAAAGGTATCCTAAAGAATGTAAATTTTATTGCTTCTTGGATAGACTACAGAATGCTGAAGGAGGTAAAGAAAATGAATGCTGTGAATAATGAGTGTTGCAATGCATCAGATACATTGCAACAAGTTTGATCCATGATTGTCTAACAAATTATTCTTAATATATAGCTGTACTATTAGCCAATAACAAAGGGAAAAGTTTCCTCTGTCGTTATTTTAATCCACCTCAACAAAACTGGAAAATCAGATACTCAGTAAAAATTCTAAAAGCCAAGTAAGTACATTGCTTGAAACTTCATTCTTTAGCTTTCATTGCTGAAATCTGCCTGGCATCTTTCCTCCAAATAGCTCAAGTTATTCTTATATCCTCCCCTTGTAAGGCTAAACAAGTTCTCTGTGAAACACATCCTGGTGCACCACCTTATTACAGCACCCAAAAAGTCTAGACCTAAGCGCTATTATGTAAATAAAATACACCACCTGATTAGTCCTGAAATGAACTGTGGTTTAGCTCCACAGTTGAAAGAATATCTATTATCACAATAACACTGGATTTATATGATATGAAGAAAAATCAGGAACATCAACACTATGATATGCACATAGTCTGTAGCAGTTTGTCCATTAAAAACATTGAAGAGTTTCTTTATAAATAGTATATCTTTACTAATTATCACATTAATGGGTGACTCGATGTAAGTATGGACCGTGCTCTGACTTACAAGAAGCACTGCTTAAATAACAAGTAAAAAGTGGGTGCTAGAAAAAATATCACATGAAAGCTGACTGGCATAACTACCCTCATGTAGTTTCTAGGAGCCCCCGGTGGCACAATGGGTTAAACCCTTGTGCTGGCACCACTGAAGACCAACAGGTCAGACGTTCGAATCCGGGGAGAGTGCGGATGAGCTCCCTCTGTCAGCTCCAGCTCCCCATGCGAGGACATGAGAGAAGCCTCTCACAAGGATGGTAAAATATCAAAACATCCGGGCATCCCCTGGGCAACGTCCTTGCAGATGGCCAATTCTCTCACACCAGAAGCGACTTGCATTTTCTCAAGTCACTCCTGACACGAAAAAAGTCGCTTCTGACACGATAAATAAATAAAATGGGTGACTTAATATTCAAATAAATTTAAGGTTTCATCAGGGAAGTATAAGAAAAAACAAATTAATTGAATACAAGCAAGAAACCACAGGTGATTTTAATGCTGCAACTATGAGAACGTTTACTTGGATTTGGGCTCTATGACACTTAGATTTTATTCAAGTGCCAGATGTAAGCTTTATAAAATTATTTCAGAAACTGAACATGTAGTTAAAAAGCTCACATTGAGAATTCATTAACACAAGGTTTTAAATCATAGCAAGGTCATTGCCATTAGACATAACATCCTTTGTAAGCATTCTACAAGTGAAACATAAAACTCCAAAGTAGGGATTTGAGAGCCTGTCTTGTGAATCACAGGAGCCAAGAGGTCACCAGTGGAGGATATGATTTGACAATCCAGCTTTTCCCTCCAAGAACACAGACCCAATTGAAAAAAGATAAATGTGAATGAAACTTTCAGTCATTAACCAAAACTGTATACTGTTTGAAGTAAATTCCAAGCAAGCACTCTATTCAAGATTTAAAGTGAAATATGGTAAGTATGCTTTTTCTGAAGGTGAAATCTGTCAACCATCTTTTGGATCCCCCTCCTGCCAAAAATATGTACTGGGAAAAAATCAGAAAAAATGCCAAAAAAAAGTATGATTGTGAGAAATAAGAGGCATGTTTAACAGTATCAAGATACGTCTTCCATAATTTTTTACCATTCCCATATGGATTTGCATGTGTCTATGTTAAACACAAGTAAACCAATGCAATACCTATACAAAATAATTTCAACTGTAGGAATAATTCAATAAAGTGAAAGTATCTGTTTAATATTTTGTTTTGTTCTTCCCTTCCATTTCAATATGTATTATGAAAATCAGGTGAAGCTTGTGCTCTATATTTTAAGTCTTTAGAGGTTCATCAACACTGTTTTTGTTGCTGCAGCAGCAAACAAACACAACTATCTCTCTGAAAGTATGCTAAATCAATTCTTATATCTATCCTGAGTCGTGACAACAGTTTTGGCCACAAGGCAAATGCATACTTTATTCAATGTTCCCCTGGAGAAGCTAAAATAAATGGTGTAAACCTTGTAGCACAGCAAAATAAAAGCAGTTTTGAAAATGATGAAAAATACTATGGGGCAATAATTAGTCTACAGTCCACAAACACTTCCTTTGTATGTGTTTTTAAAAACTATTTCTGGTCTTCTGAGTGTTTTCAACTAAAGGCTGGGAAAGTATGCTTGTGTGTGAACTACGTGGGATGGACACACTTTAAGTAATTTGAACATCTGATTACAGTACTTAGACAGCAAACCTAGGCAACATGACTTTGTCTTCCTGACTGAACAGTATTTTAAATTGGCGTATTGTCAATTAGATGTATATGTTTGCTTATAGTGCACTATATATTTAATAATAGCCTAAACACTATTACATACCACTGAGCAACTAATAAAAGTAGAACAAAGCATATATATAATGCTCAAAAGTCCAGACAGGTTTAACAGTCAACATATAGCCAGCCAAAGAATTAGAGTGTCCACACAGTAATAGGTCAGTAATGATAAAATATTAAATATATAGTTATTAATCAAGACAGATATAAAATAAAATCAATTTTACCAAGGTATAGTACATTATAAAACTATATTAATTAGGAGTCCTCGGTAGTGCAGTGGGTTAAAGCCCTTGTGCCGGCAGGACTGAAGACTGACAGGTTGGAGGTTCGAATCCGGGGAGAGAGTGCAGATGAGCTCCCTCTGTCAGCTCCAGCTCCCCATGTGGGGACATGAGAGAAGCCTCCCATAAGTATGGTAAAACATCAAAACACCCTGGGCAACATCCTTGCAGATGGCCAATTCTCTCACATCAGAAGCGACTTGCAGTTTCTCAAGTCGCTCCTGACACGAAAAAACTATTAATTTAAGTTGCTATTGCACTTCTGCACCATTTTTTATTCTGTTTTTACATCCAAAAATTGCATAAATGTAAAGCTTTCAGTTTTGAATGCCTTTATAGATCTGTACTCTGCCAATAAAGGCTTCTTTCGTTCCTCTTCAGATACAGTATACATTATATGCTCTGAAAAAGCAGATAAACAAGCCTAATAAGACCATGCCACACAACAATAATACAGGTAGGGGTGTGAATGTGAGAAGAATATTGAAGTATGTGCTTGTTCTCCATATAAATAACCAAAAACAAGTGAGGGCATGCTCTGTAAAACTTACTCCTCAAAGGGAAATCTACTAGGTTTGCAGGATTCAGCTGGAGAGAAAAAGCACATTTACTACCAAACAAAACAAAGAATGAGTGGTTGCTCCATTTATGAATTACATGCTAAAATTCCATCTACAAAATTAATTCTCAAAGCCTATGGAGCAGACTATATTAATGACATTTTCGTGTATACTTTTGAGTATTCTAGGATTTTGTTTTTTAAAAAAATCTTGTCATGAGAAGACTACAAAAAGCAGACATGCTCAGCTGAATTTATGAATCAACCCAAAAACCTAATGAAATGTGTGCAATGCTATTAAGACTACACATATGCAGATTATTTGTGATGAAGAATCATTTATAAGTGTCTTTGTTCTCAGTATTTA